TACTATATTACAGATATTTATATTTTAAAAGAGTGGAATATATGATATTTGCTCCACAGCCCCTTCTCCTTTACCCCAGACTTGTCCTCAAGCTAACTTTTAATTTAAGTTGAGCGCTATTGTCAAAGTTAAAATACGATCTAGCTAAATTGAATGAGATTTGCTCTCCTCGGACCAGAAACTGACGTTATGGAACATTACATGTGGTACAACATGATAATGTCCTGAAAGAACTATGTGTACATGAGAACCACATGCATGAGAAATGACCTATACTAATATACAAAAAGATAATATCCAGGTAACAGATAAGAGAATAGAAAAACCCTATATATACAGAAATACAAAGTAAATCCTTTAAACATAAAACTGAAGAAATAGGCCTTTTAAATATAAAAACGTAAAATAATACATTTAAAGTAGCCATCAGTGAAATAATAACAAATGGAAAATTAACTCATTACTTACAATAAACAAAATAAAAATAAAGGAAAATTAATGATTTATTAACACGTACTAAAACTTTACCCTCACACATGAGCACATATAAGAAAAATCTTTTTAAAAAGTACAAGATGAAATAGATAAAATAAACCATTGAACAACAGCAACAATATTAATTACAACACAAATCAAGCAGGATGAAATGAAGGAAGACAGACACACAACATGGGGAGATAAGAGAATGAGAAAGATACATTTATCTTTCAACAACAAGGCTGAAACGAAAGAAACTAACTGTAAGACCGTAACTCGTATCAGAAAAAACAAAATTTAATGAAACTGAACAATTTAAGCATGTTATAAATATAACCCTTTTACGAACAGAACTATATACACAAACATATGCAGGTAAACCAGAACAAAAAAGAAATGAATCAGTGTTCGCATACTTATAAAAAACATATATAGGAATACAGTTATGTGTACAAAAAAAAACATTAGACCAAATGTAAAAGAGTATAGTTTAAAATAGTTGGCCAATATATCGTAAAGTAACCACAAAAGTTACACATAAAACACACAGTATAGTAACTAACTTGTCAATAAATAATGAGAATATCATTTAAATATAGTAAATATAATATAATTAATATGTACATATTTGTGTACCTAGGTGCAAAAATGAAGAACATAGTAACTACACAAAATACACATATTTACATACAAGAATTCCAGCAGGTTTACTTGAGGCTGGTTAGCAGTCCTCCAGGGCCATGGTGAATTTTCTTTCTTCCAAAGATATGCTCTGAATTACTTTGGTGTCTCTGGCTAGCTCATCACTAGCTCAATGAAGTTTTTTTTACTGCACTGGAATTTCTTTCTTTTTGTTCTCCTTGTGCTGATCTTCTTTACACAGGTTGAAAGCCTAGGCAGTAATCCACTTGGTTGCCTGGGTTTGAGATAATGCCACAATTTCATTGGAGTTGAACTCTGCTGGAAGCTACTAGGTCCGCGAAGCAATGTCTGAAGGTGGTATAGTGATCACAGACACAGCTGAAACTGAAATTCTTGGAGATAATTGTTATTCCTCGGAACTGTGGGTTTATCATTTGATTTGAATTTCTTTAGTGAATGGAAAGTTTTACTAGATCTATACATCAATTTCTTCCACTCGGCAGGTCAGTGTATTGGTGTTTTGTTTTCAAACTCATTAGAGGTAAGTCTAGATTTTGTTTGTACCAACATTTTTCTCAGTATCTCTCTGGCATACAGGTGATGAGCTATCACAACTTTGATAGTTCAGATAACTTCTTTTTTCTAGCAGCTGCTGGAATGATTCTAGAGTTGATAGTTGGCTCTTCTGACTGTGAAAAGGAGGCAAATGGATGACAAAAAAAAGAGTAGGTAATACGAATTTAGGGGAACCAAAGAAAGTTTCAGAAGTAAAGTTGCTACTTGGCTCTCTGAGCATTTCCTCTTCAGCTTTTTCATCCAATGAAGTGGTGGGGTAGAAGATGAGGAGCGATAATGGTCTCTATCCACCTCGATCAGAGCTGAAAGTGGCTATCATCATTAATAAAATGAATGACAATAGACATCTTGACTACGTTTTTTAGCTCTATTATAAGTTGAACATCCAAATCTAATACATCTTCTGTTGTAAAAACAATGTATCAAAAGTATAAAGCCAGATATTTCACAATTCTGTGATCAGAACAAAATGGTCAGCGTGACTATTACCTCACTTTATATCAAGCAAAAACATACGGGAGGATAGCACTAGCCTATCTGACCTGTGATATATCAGGTGAAATTGTAATAATTTAAAACCAACTACACTTGGATCCTTTCTCGGAATCTCCATGTTAAAATTGATAAGTATAAAAATTATAAAAATTCTCTTTCTGCTGCAGCAAATGCATGGACTTCTATACCATAATAAAACACAAGAAAACCTTTGCCATTTATATATGTACACCTGTGGAATAAGTGTCTGATTCTCAGAAAAACAGCACTCAACATGACATTCAAATCTGGATTGCACAAGAAACTTGAAGTAAAAATCATAAAATTTGACCAAACTTTACAATTAAGTTGCTTCAGCAGCTCTCAGACAAGAGAAACTACATAAGGGATAAAAGATCATCTTTGCTGGATAACTGAGTAGTTGGCGTCTTTATAAGGAACTAGCCGCTCTCCTGTTCCCTACAGACTCTTCAGTGTCCAAGGTTTAATATTGTTCATTGCTTTCACGCTTATCAATGGAAGGGAGACGAGAAGGGAAAGACAGACTATCATCATAAGATTATTGTGAGAGAATGTTTAAACTTATGTTTGAAAGTACATAGATTTTTGAACTCTTCATAAGTATTAATATTTAACTTTACCGACTTCATCAAATACAGAAAAACAAGCAAAGTTTGACTTTCATTTATTTTCACCTTCATAATGTTTTATATTTCCCTGTGACTTCGTTCTCTCAAGTCCTCCAGTGAGTTAGCGGTAATCTTATGAACTTACAAAGCTAAAATCCAGGGTTCGATTCCCCGTGGTAGGCAGAGCAGATAACTTTATGTGGCTTTGCACTAAAACAAACAAACAGTCTTTCTTCCAAGCATTTCCTTTTATATTCCAACAAGTTTGGTTTTGTGAATGTTTATTATACATAAGTAAATATATATGCATATGCATGTTTCATACTCACACACGTTTTGGTTAGTAGGGATTTTAAGTACAGTGGAAAAACAATTGCAATGATACACATTTGAATTTTCAACTCTTGCCTTAGCAGGCTCATACACTGACCTGCATTTTAATAAGCTTATATGAAGTTATCGTGTAAAATTGCAACTAATATGTTTTCAGAGTTACTATATATAAGTGTACTTAAGTGACTCTCTATATCTCAACATTATAAGATAAATATAATTATAACATTAGTATCTTCTACAGCATTAGTGCTGTTCTTGTTATCCTAAATATTGTCTACAGTAAGCTAGCTGCTAACTTGTTAGGTTATCTAGCTAGCAATCACATACTGTTCTAGGTCTAACTTTTCATGAATCGTAAGTGACCAGGACAGCAGAAATACCTCATTATTTTATCAGGTAACTTGGAAGTTAAAATAATACAATTTTCTTTCCACTACCTATCACCCTCAGCTACAATGAATAGGTGGTCACTGTGGATCCAGTGGCCAAGGATCCAAACAAGCTAGTACTCAGGTATCCGCTTCTTATCATCTAATTCACAGTAAATAACAAATTAAAGTTTGACATAATTCTTTTCCTCCTCTGACAGGTTGTAGTAGTATTTTACCACCATCTGCAACTTCAACTCATTCATACTTTACTCACTGGATGAGCCAATGCTTCAGTGACATACAAGTTCAGCTTACTAATGGATTCTACACGCCATGAGACTACTGAACTTTTTAGCTTGATTAATTGAATCATTGTAACACAAAACCAGGTTCAGCTCAGCTTGATTTCAAAGATCTGTGTGATGCTGGCCTTCACAACTGAACTGACGCTCTTTCATCATTTTATCATATGTTATATATTTTTCTTTGCTTGTCCATCTATCTCTCCTACGTGTTGACATGAAAACTCATATACACATACTGATGTGGATTTCACCATATCACAAATTTTTTAACACTCTGGAAAATCCACAGCTAGTAATAGTCTATAAAAGTGGTCTAAAGGGAAAATAACTCCCTTTCCAAACATGTCAATGTTTGAAGAATAGCTGGTAGACTGTTGTTCTCTTGGATACTACACTATCATTACACATGGCAAGTGATCATCACAGTCAGCTCAACATGAGCTCACAAGCTTAGAAAGAGTGTGTACTTCACAGTTTAGTTGATATGCTTAGCAAAACCATCAGATTGAGAATGGTAATGTGAAAACGAATTTTCATCACATCCATTACCATTGCTCCTTGATCAGTGTGAATCTCCCATGGTATTCCAAAACA